CTTCCTTCCTTCCTTCCTCCTTCTCCTCCTCCTCCCGCGCGCGCGATGGCAGGACTTCGTGCGGGTGACGTGCCAGAGCTGCAGTGCCGCGGGGGGGCCGGGGGAGCGGAGCGCACCAGGGTCTTGCGGTGGAGGCCCCCGTGCCAAGAGACACCCCGCGTGCGTTTTTTCGGGCCGGACGAAAAGGGAGGAGGGGGAGGAGGCGGACGAGGAGGAAGAGGAGGAGGAAGAGGATATGTTGGAGGAGGAGGAGGAGGAGGAGGAAGTAGAGGAAGGGGAGGAGGAGGAGGAGGAGCAGGAGCAGGAGCAGGAGCAGGAGGACCAGGCCGGACGAAAGGGGGGATTGGGAAAGGAGGGTTGCGAAAGTTGCTGCATGAAGCTGGTTCCGGCCACACCGAGGGGCCCTTTCCTCGATACAGCCGCCTCCGGCGCTGGGAGGCGCCGGGGAAATCAGCTACGTGAGCTGATTCTCACCCCCCCCCTTTGCTGTCCCCCCTTTTCGCCCGACCCGAGTTTGTTGGGTCTCGATTGTCTCGCGATGGAAGGCGTGACGTTTCCCACACCAAACGTCAGTGGACGTCCCCAGGTTCCAGGGCTGGGTTTCTCGTGGGAGGTTTCTGGTGGACTGGCCTCCACTGTACAGTGCCGTTTCTAATACATGCTCCGCGTGCGGGTCATGCATTCAAAGTGCAGGGATTCAGTTTTAAAAACAACTATGAGTTCATGCATACATGTAATCATCAACTAACCGTGTAATAAGAGTCGTATCTGTTTAAGAATCCGATGTATGAAAAACTGCCCTGTATCGCCCTTCCTCCGTCTTCCATGCCGCGGGGGCCCTCCCCGCCACGGTGTGGTCCGCCCCGCAGGAAGCCTGCGCTCAGACCGCGCGCCCCGGGAGAGAGGCCGGGGGACCGCGCCGCACCGCCGATGCCTCGGCTCCGCGCGGCGGCTCGGCGCCAGCGTCCCGACGTCGCGGCTGCGCCGGCGGTGCGGCGCGATCGTCTGGCCCCTCTCGCTGCGGCCCCTTTTGTGCGGCCGCCCGGCGTGGGGGCGTGCGGCACGCGGGCACCGTCGGGCGGAGCTGGGGCGAGGATCGATGCGCTCCAGAGCGGTCCCGAGCGCTCTCAGAGCGTTGCGGAGCGCTCTCAGAGCGTTGCGGAGCGCTCTCATCAGGAGGGGAAAAAAAACACAGACACAATTAATCGTCGATTTCCCAGAAAATATGGGAAAATATGGGAAGTGGTGGGGAAGACAAAAACCCAGAAAATATAGGAAAATATGGGGAATCTTTTATTTGTGTGTATTTATTTGTGTGTCCCAGTTTCCCTTCATCTCAGAAGGTCGCGGCGCCCGAGACGTCTTCCAGAGCCGCCAGAATTTTGAGATCTTCGATCTCTCTTCACCCGAAGTCATCCTCGTCCTCTTGGTGTCGCTCGGACGTGTGCACTTTTTCTCGGCGGGGGTTATTAAGGAGCATCCTGGATCATCCTGCGAAAACGCCACGCACGACACCGAGGAAAGCACAGGGAGTGGACGTCCGAGCGAACGGGGGGGTCGATGCAGCGAGGGTTCAGCTGGCCCCCATCTAGTCCTTCCAGGCGGCCCTCGCGGGTTAGGGAGCCACGCGGGGCCCTGCCCAGCCTTCTCCTTCCTCCTCCGGGTTGGCATCGCTCGGACGTGTGCACTTGCTTTTGCTCGGCGAGGCCCATCGAGGCGCATCCTGGCTCGTCTGGCGAGAGAAACACACGAGATCGAAAAGGCACGGGGAGGAGGAGGAGGAGGAGGAGGAGGAGGAGGAGGAGGAGGAGGAGGAGGGCGTCCGAGCGATGGCGGGTCCTCCTCCAGCACCACGTGCCCGGAGCACCAGCGCAAAAACCCCCAGCCTTCGGGCTGGGGCCTCTCCCGGGGCTTCTCCGGCAGCGCCCGGGGGCTGTGGGAGACTCCCTCTCCGCCCTCCGCCGTCTCCAGCCTGGGAGCTGCTCCGAGGCGACGAGAGGGGCGAATAGCCTCGCAGGTGACTTTTCTCCCCCAATCCCCGAGCTTCGCCGGAAAAGGATGACCTCTCAGAAAAAGAGGGAAACCTTGGGATACACCCCAAGGAGGCTATTCGGACGCACCACTATCGAGGATGAACGCCCCCCAATCGTATATCCCAGGGTTGGGGCTCAAATTTTTGCTTCATGCGAAAACCCCACGATGTCTGGGATAGGGGTCGACATATGCCCTGTTATAGCCCAGGGGCGGGCATTGCACGTGTTCGCCAGGGAGACTCGCCGAAGGCATGGACCATTGGCGCCTTTTGATGCACGCATTGCTCTCCCCGGGGGCCATTCGCCTCCACTGTCGCCCCCGAGCTAACCATCGTCGGAACTGTGCCTGTCACGCTGCAGAGTGCCCCGGCGACGACGCCCCGCGAGAGGCATGGGAGTCAGCCCAGGCGGGGCCCCGCCTCGGCGCAGGGGTGCCCGCTGCAACGCCGCCGTCGCGCGTTTTGCGCGCGTCTGCCGCCGTCTTCGTGCCTGGAGCGGGCATCTGGGAGCCTACAGTCGGGGCCCTGAAGAAGGAACCCTTCTCGTTGGGGAGGGGCTCCGCGTTCCTTAAAGTGTTTCGCAGCTTGCCTCAGGTTTTCCTTATGCTTTCGATCGGAAATCGAAGTTTGACTTATGGAAAAAGGAGCCTCGTTCCTCATTTTGGGTTCCTTAGGTCAAGGCCCCGACTGTATTCCCTCGGGCACCCGCCGCGCGTGCGGCGCGGTGGCCTTCCGCTCCTTGGAGGCCGAGGCCGTCGAGGGCGCGTCGCGGACCGTCCCCGAGGGTGCGCAGGCGGCAGCTGCGGACGTGGATTCCAAAAAACTTGGCACATCGAAAATGTAAAAACTTGGCACACTGCTTGGCTAAGCTCAACGGACTTTAATGGGCAAAGCTGGTGGCTGAGGCTTAACACGAATGGCTTACTCTGGCGATGCTCTACGCCCTTACCGGTGAGTACATTTTTGGCGAAGCTGGGACCATGTGCGATTCCTGTTCGTCCGCGGCTGGCGTCGAGGACTCTCCTGCTGCCGCTCCCGGCGGAGGCTCTTCCAGTGCTTCAGGAGGGGAAGAGACACGCAGACACAATGCATCGTCGATTCCCCAGAACATCTGGGAAACTATGGGAAGTGGGGGGGGAGACAGGAGCCCAGAAAATGTGGGAAAATGTGGGGTATATTTTTATTTGTGTGTATTTATTTGTGTGTCCCAGGGCCCCTTTAACTATGCTTGTGGGTGCCACTGCAGCATGGTGGTCTGTGCTTGTAGTATTATTATGGTCTGTGGTGGTTCGCTTTTTTTAGCATCGTCTGTATGAGGTTTCCCGGCACATCAATCTGTGTTGTGTGTGTGGCTTGCTGGTCGTTCACCGTGCGTCTTTCACAGCATGGATGCGGCAACTCTGGGAATGGCATGTCAGTCTGGCCGTTGTCTCCTTCAAGCTGTTCAACTGCTATTCCAGTCGTGTCTCTGGGCCGTGGTGGCATTGGAGGTTCTTGCCGTGCACCTGGTAGGCGCGTTTTCCCTGGTCGTCGCGTTCCTCATCGACGTTTTCTCAGAGGCCTAGGCGTTGCTGCCGAAAAAAGCCAACGGCATACTCCTCCTCCTCCTCCTCCTCTTCTTCCTCTTCTTCTTCCTCCTCGTCCCATCCCCAAGGACATCGCTGTGGGTTGAGGCTGTACAGCTACAAGGAAGGCCCGCGGACCGACCGGCTGATCCTGAACGTAGGCCAGGTCGTGTTCCAGTGGGCGCAGGCGGTCTGGGAGTCCGTGCCCAAGCTCGGCGTCCTGAAGGCGTGCCCGGAGGGCGCGACATCAAGGATCCAGCGTGTGAGAGTGCTCCGTGGGCGGCGGCAGCGGCGCCTGCAGAAGTGGTGCGTTGAGTTTCCAGAGGATCGGGTGGAAGTTTGACTCATGCAAGACCCTCGTCACCGACAAGGGGGACCAGGCTGGGCATGACAAATGTTGCCCCTACCCTGGTCGAGGCCTTTTCAGAGGAGGGGTCCTTCCGAGCATCGGACAGGCGAGCCCTCGCCCCAAGGGAGCCTACCGACCCGTGGTGCAAGCCCTTGTTCTGGAAGGCCTTGGGACAGCTTCTTCATTGAGTTTCGGCTGGGACGCGCTGGGCAAAGAGACACCAGAGGTCCCTTAGGTCCCTAATCTCTGGAGGGCATTGGCCGCAAAGTCGCCTGTTCAAGCGTGGGCTGGCGGAGTCTGGATACTGCCAGCGGTGCGGGGACCCAGGCGGTCCCCTCTGGCACAGGGCCTACGGGTGCCCGGCTCTTCAAGGTCTCTGGCGGGAACACACCTCAGCTTTCGTGAGTATTCGTTCTGCTAGTGTTAAAGAGTGGGGGTTCGAGGTGGGGGAAAAGTTCGCGAGGGTCCTGTTCCCGAGCTCCGTGGAGCTGCTGGGGGCCCCAGAGGAGCACGAGCATATCATTTTCTGGCACAACCAACCTGAGCTTGGCCTTCTGGCGGGCGCTCTTTTTTTCCGGACGGCTTGGCCCTGTGGGCTGACTGTCCCCACTTGGCCCGAGCGGGCTGGACTGTTGTGCAATTTGATAGGTTCGGTATGTTAGACGCAGCGGCCTACGGACCCGTCCCAGTGTCTGTTGACCTCGGCAAACAGCGAGAGATGCCGAGGACTATGTCCTCACCAGTTTCACTCAGGTAGCTAACCCCTGTTTGGTGTCTATGCTGGCTGTGCTGGCACGTTCGGCACACGTGTGGCGGGCGGACGGTGGTGGGACGGGCTGTGGGAATCGTCGCGCGCATGTTTGGAGCCAGTGTTGATTTGTGTCTCAGCGGGAGGACATCCGCATGTACAAGACTACGGCCCACCGCGCGCGTGCAGACATAGATGCTGGGCCCTCCACGGAATGGGAGATTGCAGCAAACGTCTTACGGATGAGTTTGCGAACAAAGGTGCATCAGCCTTGTCGGTTCAAATTTGTTGTTGCACGCTTTGGCAATGCTGGAGTCGCGCGCGCGCGAGGCGGCGGCGTGGGCCGCAGAGGCGCACATCCAAACCGACGGCCAGGATCATGAAGACCTCATGGACTGCTGGTTGGCGAAACGCCATGCCCCCCCGCCCCAGGCGCCGCGCGCGGACGGCCCAGCGAACCCCGACCATGAACCGCCCGAGGATCCTGGAGGGTTCGGGGTGCAGGAGCTGGACTTGGGATTGGGGGCTGGGTGGGAGACTTGTTCTGGACTCAGTACCCGCTGGCAGCCGCACCGGCTTCTTCTTCAGTCGGACGTCGAGGGCACGAATCCGAGGGTCAAGCATGGCTTGTTTTGCTGTCGGCGCGACGCAGTGAGCCCCGATGGTGAATTAACCCTGGCTGTGTCCGCCGTGTGTCTCGGCCGCGATAGGGGAGGCACCCGGGATCAGCTCGGGCGTATGTGTTACGGATAGTCGCCCACTATAGAGCGGGGGCGAAAAAACTCCAAGTAAGCCGTCACCACGGAGTGTCGCCAGCGGCGAGAGCGGCCTGCGCGAGCAGGCCGAGGCCGCCCCCGCGCCCTCCAGCGTGGCCCGCCTGTCCCGTTCGACGTGGGAACGGGGGGAAGTGGGCCGGCGAAGCGGAGTGCTGGGAGTTGTTGTATTGACGGTCGAGGACCGACCCCGTGTGCTCGAGATGGGTCATCGTGCGACCCAGAGGGCCTCTTCAGCCTCCGTGGGCCACGGCTTTGACGGGTGGTCTGGTTCGGAGAAGTGAGTTGTTGCGCCAGCCTCTGGGCCGAGCCAAGCCGAGTCATGCCTCCTCCTCCTTTTCGAGAGCAGGAGGAGGAGGAGCAGGAGGAGCAGGAGGAGGACGAGGCGGGAAGAACCGGCGCAGGCATACACCAATTATTGTCATCGTGAGGACGTGATGCCTGGAAGGGGGGAAGAGGGGGAAGTCAATCCGGGAAGCAAAGCAGAACATTGGAGACCCTGAAGTTTCGCGTCGACTGACATGTGCCCCCTGGGCCCCTCGATCTACAGGCCGACGGCTGGCTTCCCAGTGGGAGGCTGGGGCCCCTCCCGAGAGCCGGGCGGGGTTTGGACGAGGACAGGTCCGTTCCATAACGTTCTCTGAGCGCTTTGGAACGCTCAGGGAGCGCCGCGTTGCCCGAATCATCTTCCAGAGCCGCCGGATCTCAGAGATTCTCGATTTATCCCCCCCCCCGATTTTAGCCCCGCCCGGGCCTCGTCTCAACTGGGCGCGCTCCGCGGGATGGCCGACCCCCCCCCCCTCGGCAACGCCCCCTCCGCTGCGCGAGGGGGGGGGGGCCGGGCGGCCGCAGGTGCCCCGAACTGGGCGCCGCCGACGGTGGGCAAGGTGCGCTGTGGGCGCTGCGCTGCCGTCACGCAGGCGCGGCCTGACGAGGACGACGACGACGAGGACGACGGCGACGACGACGGCGACGACGGCGGCGGCGACGGCGACGGCGACGGCCACGGCCACGGCCACGGCGGCGGCGGCGGCGGCGGCGAAGGCGACGAGGACGGCGACGACGACAACGACGGCCTCGTCGTGTATTCGTTAGGTCCGTTATGCTATGATTTTGTTTATGTTATTTGTTAGGTTGTTTGTTCGGTCCATTCGGTTATTCGTTAGGTTGTTTATTAGGTTGCTTGTTAGGCCCATTCGGCTATTCGTTAGGTTGTTTGGGGGGACAGCCATTGGGGTATTTTTTTGTAGGTTACAGACCAGTTGAATATTCAATTGTTCCGGTCCGTTCGACAAACATTGCCGAATGCGGCACTTGTTGTCGATCGGCTATCTTTGGGTCCAGCGGTGTCTTAAAGGGATCTGGAGCGATCTGTGCGGGCCCCGGGGCCCTGAGCCGGACGAGAGAGCGCTCGGTCTGAAAACGAAGGGTCCGAAACGATTCGTTCGAATGTGTCGGCCACCTAACAGACAGACAGAAGCATTGCGTTCAGGTGGACGCGTTGGCAGGAAAAAGCGCGGATGCTGCCAAACATGCGACCCTAGGGTCGGCGGCACTGGAAGCACAGAGGTGTGAAGACGACACCGTTCGTTTTTCACCCTTCTCCTCTGGGGGGGGCGACGCGAGAGCGCGAAGTCATCCGCGCTTCGCGCAGCGCGAAGCGCGAAGTTGGGCGCCTTTGAAAGAAGTGGGCCGCCAGCCAGGATCCCTCGGCCACGCTCAAAGGGGGGCAGGGGGGAACGGGGGAAGGCTTCTTAGAAGCACCCCTGCTTCCTAGAATGCGCGGCCGCCTCGTCTACAGATGGAAGGGCCCTCGCCCTCTGAGGAGCAGCCTCCTTCTGAGAAGCCTTCCCCCCCTCCCCCTCTGCGCGCCGCCAGGTCTCGAAGTCCTTCGCGATCCGCGAGCAGCGCGGGGCGCGAACCGCGAACTCGGGCGCCCTCGGAAGAGATGGGTGGCCAGGATCTCGGGGCCGGCCCGCCTCCCGCCCCCCCCTTCGGAGCCTTCGGTGGAGTTCCCCCATGGGGCCGCGAAGCGTGCGAGGGTCGGATGGCAGAGGCGAGGAGGGGGGAGGAGGAGGGAGGGGGGGGCGGGGGGGAGAGGAGGAGCGCGGGACGCTGCCCTCCTCGAAGCGAGGGCCTAGCACCACGGGATGCTTGGGAACTGAGCGGCCGGCATCTCGGCGCCCGTCCGCCTCCCTCAGGGGATCGCAAACACGGATTACGGGGGCGTGGATTGGCGACGGGTCCCGTTTGCATGGGCAATCACGGATCCTCGCCGCCGAACGAGGCGGCATTGGCCGCATATTGGGGAGGGCACCTCCCCCGATCCATGGATTTGGTGACCGCGCGCCAAATCCATGGATGTTTGCGCGCCCCCGATGAATGTGCGTCGCCCCCCCCAGGGGCGACGCGCGCACCGAGACATCCCATAGTATATGCTTCCTGGCCACGCAGCTCGGGAAACGATCTACTACAAGATGGGTATAGTATATGTTCGGGTCGGACACGCGCCTCCAAGGAGGACAGATATCAAGAGGGAAAAAAACACAGACACAATTAATCGTCGATTCCCCAGAAAGTATGGGAAAATATGGAGGACCTTCTTATATTCGTGTGCATTCATTTGTGTGTCCCAGGGCCTCTTCAAGATAAAATTAGCATGCCTCCGTGCGTCACATCGCCCGTCCACCTCCCGCCCCCTCAGGTCGGCGGCCCGGAGGCCGCCGCCGCCCCGCGGGCCTCCGCGGCCGCGGGCGGCGCCGCGGCGGCCGCGCCCGCGGCGCCCGACGAGGGCGCCGGGCCGCCGCGGCCAGCGCAGGCGCCCTGGGTTGCGGGCAATAGTTATATCCACATCCAGTGCGTCTTGGATTCTTGGGCTCTCCTCCCCAGAAACCGTAGACGCGCTGGATATGCATGACATTCAGGACCCAAGAGGCCTGAGTTTATCCATATCCAGTGCGCCTCGGCGTTGCGGCACCTCTTCCCAAAAAGTCCGCGACGCTCTGGACATGGATATAAGTACTGCCCGCATGGGTGGGGGCCTGGAGGCCGCGCAATCCAAGCAGGGACGAGGCGTCTTGGACTGCCCAGTGATCGTTGTCTTATGCTCGAGGGAGGAAGAACCACCCCTAGCGGGCAATTGGCGTAGGCCCTGGGCGTTTACTGAGCAGTCTTGCTCTGTTCGATTCCTTCTCTGGGCGCGTTTGCGAAACGTCTTCGCGCGTTGGGGTGGTTGTTATCGGGATGGGTTTTCTGCCCTCTGTGTTCCTTGTTTTGCCGATCGGCGCTGGCCCTCGCTCCCCCCAGCCTCCCCCCCCTGGAGTAGATCTCGGCTGTGTGTTTGGCGCATGCTTCGAGCGTCTGGAGGCTCCCCCACAGGACGCCGCACTGCTGCAATCAGTCGCATCAAGCAGCGGTTCGGAGCCAGACCCCCCCCCCCTCCCCCCCGCCCGTGCGCCCAGTGGCGGAACGCCGAGTAAGAAGACGCTCACCTACAGGCCCACCAAATAGTGTTCTTCGTGGTTTGCGCGAATGTTCTTAGAACATGTCTAGCCGGGACAGTCTTTTTTGACTGCATGGGCTCTCTGTATTGCTTTTGTTTTTGGAACATTCTCGGGTTTTACGAACATGTCGTGGTAGGTCTCGTGGTAGGCCTGCAGGAATGCAGGGACTGCCGGCCCCTGCTCAAGCAATGGGGGGGCAGCGATGGCTGCCGAAAAGGGGCCCTTGAAGGCCGTAGAACAGGGCCTTTGAGGGCCCCTGACAGGGGATTCTTCTAGGGCCCAAAGAGGGCACCCTCCTGCCACCCCCTCCCCATTGATCGCACCCCCATGAATTCGCGCCCGGGCGGGAGCGGCTGGAAGCGACTCGGGGCTCAAGAGACGGGGATCAGTGCAAGGAGGAGTCAGGATCCTGCAGTCACCAGAGACAAGTACCACTACCACCAGCTAGGGCGGTGGCTGTCCCACCCTCTCGAGCTGGTGGCACCTCGTTCTGGGCATGCTTCCAGAGAGTGCCCCGAAGGAGGTGCCCCCAGCTCGAGGGGAGGGAGCGGCCACCCTCCTAACTCTCCTGATGCAGGGCCGGGGGTGCAATGACCCGGGCTTGGGCGCAGGATCCTGCAGGTCCTTGCACCGGTCGAGGAGGATCGAGGAGGAGGATCGAGGAGGATCGAGGAGGAGGATCGAGGAGGAGGATCGAGGAGGAGGATCGAGGAGGATCGAGGAGGATCGAGGAGGATCGAGGAGGAGGATCTTTCAGGTCCCTGCAAGTCCTGACTGACCAAGGTTTGCATTGGCCCTGGTCAGTAGGTCCCCGAGCCGCGCGCAGAGAGGAGGGACCGAGGATCGAGTTCGCTCGAGGGTCGAGGATGGAGGGTCGAGAGACGATGATCGAGGATCGAGGAGGATCGAGGAGGAGGATCGAGGAGGATCGAGGAGGAGGATCGAGGAGGAGGATCGAGGAGGAGGATCGAGGAGGATCGAGGAGGATCGAGGAGGAGGATCGAGGGTCGAGGGTCGAGCATCGAAGGTCGAGGGTCGCAGGTCTAGGATCGAGGGTCGAGGATTCTGTGTCGAGGGAAAAAACACACACAGACAAACCGTCGTCGATTCCCATGAAGATACTCCAGATTTCGTAATAACAGGGAGGGGGTCTGGACCCTCCAAGACAAGCCATTTCAGACCCCCCCCCCGTGGGAGAACCCTCCAAAACATCGTCCCCAGACCCCCCCAGGCTCTCCAAGGTAGCTTGGAAAAGACTCCCCCCCGAAATGAGACCCCCCTCCCTTTGTTACGAAATCTGGAGTACGGGGAGCTATGGGAAGTGGGGGGGGAAGACAAGAATCCAGAGCATGTGGAAAACTAGATCGAGGAGGATCGAGGGTCGAGAGGCGAGGATCGTCGAGGACCGAGGATCGAGGATCGGAGGTCAAGGGGTCGAGGATCGAGGCCCGAAGGCCCGAAGGCCGAGGATGGAGGC